ACAAGTTTAGAATTAAAATTATGAATTTAATTGAAAAATAACATCAAATTTTAGGACAATATTTATAAAGTATCAAATATTTGAGGTATATCAATAAGTTTTAACAATTTAGGGGGTCAAAACATAATATTAAAAGGTTGAATTTTTTTTTAAAAAATTACTGTTGAACCAGAAAAATCGATTTTTTCCCGGTCAAACACGGTTTTTGACCGGTTTTAAATTTCCGATTTTTTAATATAACTCGGACCGACTACCTGGCCGGTTCCTGGTTCGACCGGTTCGACCGGCCGGTCCAGTTCGAGTTTTAAAACAGAGAATGTATATGCTAAAGCAAAATTACTTAAGCCATGAACTTCAAAGTATGTATGAATTTGTGATCAAATGAAAAGTTTGCGATCGACTAGTGTCACACTAGAATGAGTACCCTAGAATTAAAGCTCACCTTAACAACGCAAGCTACTTGTATCTAACATAAATATTGTACATTTGCATGTATATTAGGAAAGCTATCGCCTCGTAAGTAAATCAGGGTAATCCTCCTAATTGGCAGATTTGGGGTAGGAAGGTAATAGGGGAGTGGGAAGGTTGGAAAAAAAAAAAAAGGGAATGGTGTCATAGTCAAAATTCGATTTTATTGAGTACGATGAAAATTAAATGTAATTCTGAATAAGTAACAGATCCTGCTCTAATGCATGTATTTTACGTATGCTTACCTTCTGAAGATACTTCATTTGTCTAATTTCCCTGAAGTTTAGCCCTGTATCTGAAAATGCTCTTCTCTTCACAATGTCCTCTTGTTCCTCCTAAAATGTATAAATTTAAGTCCCTACAAAGTTATATTGCCCGAACATATATACCAGCAATTATTACTCTCAAAGTCTTACTCAGACGAATATGTACCTACCTTTGCCTTCTGTAAGGTCTGAGGATGCTCGTGAAGGAGTATAATGGCCCATGTTACAGCATGACCGGAAGATTCATGCCCAGCTAACAAGAATATGATTACCAAATCCACAATCTGCTCGTCGTTCAATTTGTTTCCCGCATCGTCTTGGATTTCCATCATCAAAGTTAACAAGTCCTTTTTAGTCCTTGATTCAACATTATTACTTTTGGACAGCATCCTCCTTTTGCACACAATTGCTGCAAATGTCTTCACTAAGCTCTTCCTTGCCTAACACCCGCGTCAAAACAGGCAAACATTTCTAGATTAGATCTTGAAAAGAACTTCAAATATACACTTAGTTCTTGTATAAGCAAAAATGGAGGTTGGATTGATGATCTTGAGGCATGACAATGTTATTCTTAAGGTGTTATTTGCCTCCGTTACGCAAATTATTTACTACAGGGTTAAGATAAATTACCCCTAAGAGATTGAGACACAAAGAAATAGCATTTTATTAAGGTTAGGAATCCTCACCTTGAGTGCCCGGTGGTACGCAAAACCAGGGAGGTTTACGGCCATTGACTTGAGTCCATTAGAAAGTACAGTATATTCATGTTCCATGTGATCCAATGATTTTTCATCATTAATTTCGTTACCCATAATAATGTTCATCATCACCTTAAAAGCAGTTTTCCTCATCTCAGTTAACAGCTGAATTGGTTCATCCTTACTTGCCCATGTATCAAACGTAGTTCTAGCGATATCCTCAATATAGCCAATAAACAGTGATAATGCTTCCTGACCGGCAACTGGAGCTGCTATTAGCTGCCGGAGACGCTTATGTTCTTGATTCGATACGCCGTGGAGTCCTCTCTTTCCTACCAAATCTGAGACTGATCTAGGCCAACCGGGTCCAAAACGCTCATCTGTCAAAACTTTTCTGCATGCTTCAGCTGTTGTAACAATTATGCTTGGCTTTCCAAACAGTAGTGTCCGGTACATTGGCGCCTGCCCATATCTATATCCAGAAAGTTTATGCCCAAAAGAAAAAAAGCTTTAAACATGAGCAAGTGGAATGCCAATAATGATACCTGAAAAAAGAAAAGGGAGGGAGAGATAGAGAGGAGACCTGGTAGTGAAGGAGGAGATGAATGAATCAGGATTACCAAACTTGAAAGCTCTGAAGAAAGAAAACATATTGCCAATCAAAGGGAAGCCCAAGTCACCAGGGGGTAGTGTTTTTTGCAGTCCACCCAAAGGGCTCACGTATATCCAGTCGTTTGTTTTCCTTAGCAAACTATAGACTATGGAGACCATGACCATTATCAAAGCCGTGAAAAAGCATACTTGGTCATATTCCATGATTAGCTACCTAGCTAGACAACGTTGATTATTAGAGATCTTTGCTAAGATTGATCACAAACTGTCTTTTGGTTGTTGTCAATCTTATAATCCGGCCTAGCGTATTTATAGTTGTAATCTGGGATTAGGTCGATGAGGCACTAACACGAATTAAAGAGCTAATTGCCCGTATAACCGATCTTTGTTTAGGCTGAAATTTTAGCTAGTCAAGAAAATTGAGATCTCTTCTACGTTTAGACATAATTGTGTCTCAAAAATTGAATAGTGAAAGGCAAAATGTTCAATGCTTCTTCCAATTTTTTACTGTTGCAAATTGATATATTACATGAAATGAAACTCCAAATCCAAACGAGTGTCTGGTACAATCATTTGATCCGACAGTAGTTCAGTTCTCGTCGGTTCTTTCATAGGTCCAATTGAATCCTCCTAAAATAAGTTAGAATAAGAATAGGAGTAGGTCTAAAATAGACTGTTATCGACTATCGAAAAAAATGAAATGAAAGGATAGCACGGAGAGGTGTTCAAAAAGCATGGACTTGGTTCAAGAAGTGACACTTTTCTATATTGTCGTCCGTTAACTTATCATGCTATATTTTTCTTCACATGGCTTTCGAAGTACAACTATTAGCAAGTGCTGATGGTTGATAGAATTTAAAGAAGAAAACCTACATTATTCAGAAAAAAACATGCATCCCCAACAATTTGACAACAAATTCTTTAATTCTCAAGTGATCAGCACAAATGTTTATTAACTCTGTTTTGCTCAAAGGGGGTAGGGGGAAAAGATGAGTTGGGCGATATAGGAGAAATCAGCGTAAATGAGAGGTTCGGATTCGGGACCTTCCATTTACACTATTAAAAAAAAAAAAAAAAAGAAACTATGTTACGATTCAATCGAATGTGGCCAAATTAGAATCGTTTTACCTAGTTTTGGTTCTTAATAATTAAGGAAATGATTAGAATCGTTTTACCTATTTTTGGTTCTTAATAATTAGGGACATGATTGGAATCGTTTTACCTAATTTTGGTTCTTGATAATTAGGGAAATGATTAGAATCGTTTTTTGGTTCTTAATTAAAGAAATGACAAGGACAGAAATATTAAGTAATGTGAGGAGAAAACAATTTCATTAAAAAAAAGTAAGGAGAGAAACTAACGAATTGAGTGGTCTTTTTTATGGCAAATTTGGCAAAGTAAATAAATTATTTGAAGCTTCTTATTTTGACTTCATTTCTCTCCACTTTGGTAGAGGATACTAAACTATCCAGTAGTCTCATGTTTCTCCCTCATGGCCTCATTTCCTTTTCTTGCCACAGAACTTCGAAAGAAGACAAAACCAACCACAATTGTCTATCCCGAGTAATCAATTGAATTCATTTCGTTCCCACTCCAATCAGCAATATAATTCTGCCGCCGTTGTATTTGGTTTTGGGTCCGATCAAAATTTAAATGCTTTCAGCAATACCTACGAGAATTTTTTCTCTACCAAATACCAATAACATTAAAAAAAAAAAAAATGTCTTGACGTGTATCACTAGTGAATTTGTTCGAACAGCGGATTATTTGTATAAATTTATTTACTTGTATTGTAAATTTATTTTTTAATTATCTTTTTTATTTCACACACATTATATCAAAAAAGTATTATCCCAAAAATATTACTATTTTTGGTCCACTCCCGTACGTTAAAACCTTGAATACCAACTAGCATGAGGCTGATTATCTCTTTTTTTCTTTCATTTTCTTTATTTAAAGTTTCAAACTTCAATTTGTTCCTGACAGAGATCGGTAACCACCGGCTGGGATTTATTGATTCAGTGAGTATGGTTGAACCGAATATTTCATAGCGATTAAGACAGGATGCCAAGAATGAGTTCGCCATGTTTCTACCATTTTGGCCGAAAAGCAATTGAAATAAATGGACCATTATCTAATCTGTCTACTCGTTGAATTGTCAGCCAATTTCTGGTGATTGATGGGTCCTATCCTAGAGTTTTGGGTACTGCATTTCATTAATTTTTCCTTTTAATGCCTGCTAAGGCAGATAAAAAATGGGGCACATGCCCTTAATTGACTGCTAAAAAATCGAGCATGCAAGAATATATATATATATATATATATATATATATATATATATCAGTAAATAAATGTATATCACATGAAAAATGGTAGGTTTCTTAATGATAACTGGAGCTCTTACATTGGTCGATGACCAACTATTGGACTTGTTTGCCAACAATAGAATAGAATATATATACTCCCTCCGTCCCATTTTGACAGTCCTGTTTTCCTTTTTCGTCTGTTCCAAATTATGATCCACTTTCCAATTGAAAAATGTAGTTATATTTTAATTTTTCTAAAATACCCTTATTCAGTGTAAGTTGTTGTTACTATAAACCTATCCCATTTAATGAGAGTTGATTTTTTTTTTTTACCATCAATTCAACTTCCCATAAAGTTGTACTCTAATTAATGTGAGGGCATTTTAGGAAAATAGTTACTTAAATTGATTGTTCCAACAAAGTTAACTATTTTTTCTTAAACTGTGTGAAAAAAAACCAAGACTATCAAAGTGGGACGAAGAGAGTATATATATATATAGCAAGAAAAAACTCAAAAGTTATAGCCTACAATTTTTTTTTTTGGGTATTCGAAAATATTGAGACTAATTGAGTTGCTTTAACTAACAAACCTGTGTAACTTGGTCATAACCCTTATATATACTTCTATCTTTAAGGTTCCCACCAAAGTAAATTTGGCATTGAAATGGCAAGCGTAAAGCCTCAAATGATCTCAAAGGTTCTCATCAAGCCCTCCCTTCCTACCTCAGAACACTTGAAGACTTACAATCTCTCTGTGTTAGATCAGCTTTCCCCACATTTCTACCTCCCTATAGTTCTCTTCTACCCACCACCTGATTCTGATAATTCATCCAACAACACTACCGTATCTTCTCATCTCAAGAAATCTCTATCAGAAACCCTGACTCATTACTACCCTTTTGCTGGAAGACTAGCCCCTAACAAGGACTCGATTGATTGTAATGATGAAGGACTCGATTTCTACGAAGCCCGTATAGAATGCAAAATCTCTGATGTCCTGAAGAACCCTGACCCGGAGACCATGGATTTGTTCTCTCCACCTGGAATGCTGTTCAATGAATCTTTCCAGGGAAGTCCCTTTATTGTGCAAGTAACCTATTTCAGCTGTGGAGGAACAGCAATCAGCGTGTCCATGCTACACAAGGTTACTGATGCCTGTGCTTTGCTTGGATTCATCAATGATTGGGCTGCTCTAGCTAGTGGTTCTATGGTCTCTCCCATGTTCCTTACACAACAAGTGATCTCACCGTATAAGGGTGAAATCACTGTCCCCGGAATTAACCTTGACAAGAACATTAATGTTGTCACGAGGAGGTTTTCTTTTAATCCTTCCAAGCTCTCTGACCTCAAGACTATGGTATCCGATGATTTGGGAAAAATTCATAGTCCTAGTAGGGTTGAAGTTGTGGCTGCACTGATTTACAAGTGTGCTATGGCTGCATCAGAGGCAAAATCAGGCATGTCAAGGCCATCAATGTTAATGCAGGCTGCAAATATGCGCCCCGAGTTGTCCCACCATTGCCAGATAATTGTGCTGGAAATTTTTCTTGGTTTTTCTCAATCATGACAATTGATGAAAAAGACAAGAATATGACAACAATTATCTCTGCACTGAAGAAAGCAGCTCAAGGGTTTTCTGAGAAGTTTGGGAGTGGATTAAGTGCTGATAATTGCTACTCACTTATATGTGAGTCCATTGAAGGGGCAAGAAAAGTGATGAGGCAAAATCAGGGCGAAATTGAGGTCTACAGATGTAGCAGCTTGTGTAGATATCCGTTTAATCTAGTCAACTTTGGTTGGGGAAGACCAATATGGGTGGGAACTAGCACTAGTCAGATGAAAAATACCTTTCATTTGCTGGATAACCCGAAATCAGGAGGCATAGAAGCTCTAGTGACACTGGAGGAATCAAATATGTCCATATTTGAGAAGGATGAAGAGCTGCTAAAGTTTGCTGCCCTAAATTCAACTGCTATCGATAATTGATGATTGAGTGCTAAAATTAAGCCAGGAGTTTGAAGGTCTTAATGTCGTTGCTTTTGTCTTGTTCCGTGTTTTGCTATTGTACAATTTGGGTGAATGTTTGTTGGGAAGATTCATCAAAGCCACTACAACAGGTTATTTGGAAATAGCAGTCACCCCTTGTTACTTAAACAGATATCAAATGATGTTAGGCTATTTCTTAAATTGACTAATAGGCCTATGTCCAAAAAAAGAAACAAAATACCAAAAATTCTGCAAAAAATGCAATGCATAAAATCCAAATTCAAGAAAGAGAGGGAAAAAATTATAAGAAAAGCAGAATGACCATACTCCAGAGCGGTCAACAGTATTAGGCTATTGCCTCAACAACACCTCTAGCAGTGAAGTTCGATATTTCACCTAAATCCTTTTGTTAGAACAAAGAAAAATAAAAGAAAAAATATTCAAAAAAAAAAAATCACAGCACAAATGGAGCTCTTTAGTGTTTTTTTTCTACTACGTACCCTTATGTGCACTATATTAATTTTCGTAGTTCGATCAAATAACTAATCGTTTTTTCGTGCTCTTTGAAATCACAATTTACAGCTAATGTGCTTTGAATTTCTGAACTTTATAACCCTTTCAAGTTCTTTTTCATGTTTAGTTATCATTCTATTGATTAGATGTTATATAGTCAGTTGGCATTTTATCATTTTTAATAAATATTGAATATTTCTAGCATCTTATTAATTCTTGAATTATTGAGAATTGCAATTCGTGGGGCTTAAGCCCCCAGCTCGAGGCTTTTACCATGAACAGAACAACTAACAATGCCCCCCAACACCTCCACCTTATGAACACTGACAGCCACATCCGATTTGGGAGAGGAGAGGAAGAGGAAGGAGAAGAAAGAAGGAGGAAGGAGGAAGGAGGAAGAAGGGAAAGAAAAAGGAAAAAGAAAGGAGAGAGGAGGAGGAAGGGGGCCAGGAGGGACAGTGGCGATAATGGAAGAGGGAGGAGGTGAAGCCTGGCGGCGGTTGTGTATGGTGAAATATTCAATAAATTTTCAAAAATATCTCAATAAAATTTAAAATTTTTAAAAAACACGCTAAAACACATCCACATTAACAAGTTTTTGACCTATAATTCTATAATGTAATATTTCAAAAAACACCTCTAAAAACACATATAATAATTCGTAGGGGTCCTATGTTTTGGAACTAATCATTCATGGCCGACAATCTGAGTTACGAATATGACTGATTGAAGGTGATCTCTACGGACTCGAGGCACGGACGGTTGCACCTGCAACCGTCCCAGGCGGTTTTGGTCATTATCAACTGCGCGTAACTTTCTTTGTACATCGTGTAACTTTTTTTACACATCGCGTAACTTTAGAGCAAATTTTGTGGGGCCCACACATGGCGTGAAAATCGAGTTACAACTTGTAATCTCAGCCGCACAAATTTTTGAGGCCAAATCATGGCCATCAACCGCTCAGGTGCAACCGTCGCTGCCCCATTTCCATCTCTACTCCCTTAGCTACGTTGTCAAAACTCAACCAAGTGATCAAACGGAGGAATGCGACAGTGACTTATATTTGGAAAAGTTGGGATCAATTATATTTGGAGGCAATAGCGTAGCAAAGGACATTGTATAGCGATAGACACAACCTTTCACCTATTAATAAATGAAATCTGGGTGGGACTCATGGGATAAGCTCCTAATGAAAATGATCCTTATTTAACTAACCGTATTGGGATGGTCTTGGCATCAATTTAATGCTGGGTTTGTGGATGAACCATTAATGGGCAATTATGTTTATCTTGTTGAGGGATTAGGTAGGTACAATACAATTGCTTTTGGTGCAATTGGTACTAGGTTGTTGTCATACATTGAATTAGAGAATGCGTCAAAAGAAAAGGATTAATCTTATATACACTGTGAATGTTTACACTATCACCATTAGACATATGTCACAAGCTCATGTTTTATCTATTCAATCGTAACAGTGTATACACTGACAGCGTATATAAAATTTACTCTGAAAAAAATATCATACATACGAGTACAACAAAGCTTATGAGTATATATCATATCATATAAGAAATATAACGACTACACACTCGTACAAAAATCTCAACCTCACCTGTCCCAAATCCATTTCGTTGATAAAAGGATTTTTCTTTTGTCTTTCTTTGGCAGTGTACTTGTTCGTGTAACGAGGTCTCATGTCATAGGATGCACGTGTAGCGGCTTGGAAGAAACTAAAGTGATGTTCCAACTGTATCTTAAAATCTATATCAAGTTGTCATTCTGGTGGTACTAGTTTGCTTCATTTTAGAAGTGATGGACGAAAAAAACGTTAGGAACTAAAGATGTCATTTTCCCAAAGTTTTTAGCAAGCCTGAAGAAGAAGAAGAAGAAGAAGAGACGGGGTACATTGCAATGCATTTGGACTATATTGAAAGAAGAAACTAAAAAGTGCTTTGACTTTATCAACATGACAAGCATAATACAGAGAGGAAGGGGGTGAAGTGGTGCGGGAAGAAGGAGCGTAAATTAGAGGTATTTCACATGAAAAAAAAGGGATATAGAAGATAGCAAACAAATTATTTCAGATTAACAGGTACTCGAAAAATGAAAGAAACAGGATGAAAAGGGAAAAAGAAATAATTCCTTGATACTTTAGTACGCCAAACAACCGCAGGAATGCAATACCGCAATGAGTATACTGTTGATACATTACATACTACATGATGGATATCTCATATCAGCATGAATCGTAATACGCAAAGCTAATTAAGTATTATAACTGAACAATATTAGGTGCTAAATTTGAATTTGGCACTGGAATTTATTAGCACTAATAGCTAATATAATGACTATACACTGAACAACATGTCCCTTAGACATGAATTCTTAGGGGCTTTCATCTTATCTTCAGTTCTCTGCCTTTTGGTGTGATGCTGTCCTGTTTTCTTTTTGGGAGCTGCCATTGACAAGAAATATCAATTCGTGTTCCAGTGGATGGACTGGTGGGATACACAGAGAGTGAAAGGGGAAACAGAAGCAGAAAGGAGATAAAAGTTTCTGACAGTTTGTAACATGTTACTACACAAGGATGCAACCAGAACATGCTTAGAATCAGAAACTTCCTACGAAACTAGGATAGCTTTTTTGATGTTAGAAATCATATTGGCAAAAAGAAAATACAATAAGTCAGCTCTGGTATGATTAATTTTGTTTACTTAAAAACAAGAGCATGTTATCCTTCTCCCTCAACCCACCAGAAAAAAAAAATGAAAAAGAACATTGGTCCAAAGTTACTCTGGTTTTTCGCTGATGTCCCAAATCTATGTTTGAACAGGATTCCTAACATCATACCATAGTTGTTTTATCCTGCCAAACCCATTGAAGTTTCAGTCTTCTTTTGTTTGTTAAACCTTAAACAATGCAGTAAGAAGACTGTTCAAGTACAAGATCTGCTAAGGAAGGCACATTCATTTGTTTGTTAAACGTTACAAAGTGCAGAAATAGCATGGTTCCAATGCAAGATCTCACAAGAACCCAAACTCTAAGGAGATTCTTCATGCGTATGGGACAAAGCTCTACTAATAAGTAGATCTTAGCTTGTAGCCATCATGATTAGCCACTTCCTTCTTCCTAATTGTATCCGTTCACTCATAAAAAGTTTAGAACTGAAGATAAACCTTCCATAATGTCCTACATTTTCTTACGTGGGACTTTGCTTTGAAAGGAAACTCAGTCCTAGTGAAAACTGAAATTTGTTTCCATACTTCTTCAATACAGCAGACATACGACTAGTAACACTCTCATAATAACCTTAACTTTCATATGAACAAATTAGAAGAATGAGTAACTTGTGCAGGAAGAATTTTTCAGGAGAAGAAGGAATATCTAAGAAAGAAGAATTTCTGCCTAACTGCGAATATTGACAATTGTACTCTCAGAATAGGCAGAGAAAAGTAGCAAGCAACTAATAAACTCTTTTGTTATCTTTCACGTGATTCTATTGTACTATCCACAAGTTAGCCATAGCTACCAATGTTCATAATTTTTCCGATTAAAAAAGCACCTCCACTTGCAGGGAGGATTTAGTTTCAACATGTCACTCTACATGATGTTAATACTTGTATATATGCAATTAATAATTCAATTTAGTACAGAAAAAATTTTCTATCCCCCACAAGATTTTACCTCCATCTAAATCTCACACACACACGCTGCACAGAAAATGTAATAGGTTACAGCTCAAAAAATAAAGAATAAAAAGTTTCTAGTTAAGTTCATAAGGAAAATGCCACTAATAACCATAAAATTAGAAACAAAAGCTTAAACAAGTTAATAAATTTCCAGAATAGTAAGGCAAAATTTTGAATTTATTTGGGTATAGTCAAAACACATTCAAAAGTAATAAAACTTTAACCCTCATGTGACAAACATGTAAGATTTACTTATGCTATCCTTGAGAACTGGGGAAAAAATTCAGAACTCACTATGTTTAATGATCAAGATGCTCCAAAAGATGGTCAAGTGCTACGCAAATCATACATATTAGCAAAATCCAAACACAATTGCCGGTCCCTTGTATCACCCCAGCCTCCCCAGCCCCGAAAGCCAGCTTGATACCCTGCTTGTTTCCAATATATATGTACTCCCCAGTCTGTTTTAATGTTGGGAACTTTGTCAATGTTTTCCACTTGAATATTCGAAAAGCCATGATCAACGCAAGCCTGTTTCTCACCCTGACCTTGATGTAAACCACATTTTCCAAAGTGAATAGCACTAGTCCGAGGTCCTCGTAAAGAGTAAACAGGAGCCCCAAATGAAGGGTAAACTGTTGCCCACATTGTTATATCCCAATTATAATCATCAAAGGCACAAAACTCTTTTGCCTTCCTATGTATTTTTTTCCATACAGTCCGATTAAATGCATAACCAATGTTGCCCATCCTCTCTGCAATCAGACTTTCCCAACCCTCTCCCTTTGCTTTCACATCACATGGCGCGAGATTCGCAGCATAACAATCAGGACATTTCACAGGCTTCAACTCTGTTAGTAGCTGAAGATTACGATAGGCATTAGGATAAATGAAATGGTCTTCCTCTATGAAAAGAATATGGCCTAGATGCTGACGAGTCTCCTTTAACCCATCCCACACAGTGTTCATCATCCACCACCAGTGATGCTT